CGGGGCTGGTAGCACCGAGGTTCTAAATCCGGCAACAAAGATACAAAAACTGATCTATTCATGTCTCTAAGCAAGTCTCATTTTCCCAAAATCTTTTCATTTGTTTAGCCTCAAATAGTGTGCTTTCAATATTGCAATTTCACAATGACCCAACAAAATATTCGTTAAACCCGTAATGAACAGATTTTAGTTAAGTATTTTACTGATCACGATGATTGACTCCCTTCTAATATCTGCTCAGGCCAATATACCCGTAGCGAGGACGCTATCGCATGTACCCATCACCCCTTTAAGGAACATTGGTTCGAATTAGTAGCAAACACCCTGTGTGAAAATTATGACGCATGAAGTTTCAGAAAAAAAAAAACCCTTTAATGTAGCACAGCGTTTTCAACATGCCACGAAGGGCTTGCGCAGCAGAAGCCAGGGATCCTGTGCTCAATCCCCGCCCCTGGCCGTTTCGATCTGAATGAGCATCATATACCGGCGCTTGGTCGTGTATCGCTACTGCGTGGTGCACGTTAAAGACTCAAGGCTAGAGGTGATATACTGCACTGGCTTTCATTTACATCGGATACACCACACGTCCAGCGGGGTGACTCATTTACCGTTGTCTAAGCATACACACAATAAAGTTGTGTGTATGCTTAGACAACGGTTTTCTTCGGAGTTGGGGAAATTGCATCGCGCCCGAGTCTTTTGTCGAGAGGAAGAAGCGGTCTGTTTTGTTCGCACGATTGTCTGACGATGGCATTGCAGCTTCAGCTATATGACCACGTCGCTTCTTATCGATGAGCTACCATTCGACTGCCGAGTCACCCGCGTTTCCCTTTCGGATGTTTTAGACCTGCAGTTGGTTAGGTTCTGACAACATTAGGTCGGCTAAGACCACGCCTTTTTCCTGCCTTCGCATCCAGAGCAGCCAAACTTTTGGTGATGCCAGCTGTAGTATGTAAAAGCAAAGCCTGACAAATACGGCTTCATTGACCTGATTTGGATTATGTCAAGTCCTAACATTAAGTAATGGATGTCTACGTACTCCTTGTAGCTTCGGTGTTTTTTGACTGAGCGTAGCAACGAATGCAACATTGGAGCGTCTCTATAGCAGACTACATGTTGCGCCATATCTGACATATGCACAAAACAGCGTGCTGCAAGCAGAACATGCGGCAAAAATTAGCATTTGCCACGCCTGCGGTATTTTCAAAAGATTACAAACAGCTTCCGAATAACGGAAGTAAGTTATATATGCAAAACTTTGAATATTTTCGCACAAACTTTTCGATAAAACCCACACTTTGTGTTTATTGCGAGTACCGACAACCAATGTTTTGCTAAACGCGAGACACGTGCCACGAGTGAGTGCTCCGTCGCCATTTGCTTCCAAGAGCCGCTCTTTACACTTGGAGATTCATTCATTCATTGATTCATTTATTGTACCTTTATATCGCCCTCAGGGGGCTTTACATAAGGGGGGACAAACAGCGATATATATTCAAACTCACAGAAAAAAAAAAAAAAAAAAAACGCAGGCGCGTTTTTTTTTTTTTCGCCAGCGGCGGGCGGATCGCGTTTTTCGCCAGCGGCGGGCGGATCCGCGCCCGCCGCTGGCGAAATCCACTCGTCGCTGGCGAAAAATCTGGATATGGGCCCCGGACTGATCCAGATCTTTCGCCAGCGACGACCGGATTTCGCCACCCGGCTGCAAAACCCTCTCGCCGCTGGCACGGATCTGCCCGTGAATTGGCAAGTGTAAATGCACCAGAGCTGCGCCGCCACCTGCTTCCAGGTACCGCACGAGGTACGTGCCTCATGCACGGGCGCATTTGAGGCTATCTGTGAAACCAACAAAACGCAGGAAGGGGCTTTAGCCGTTGGTAGATTAACAAAGCGGGGCAGTTCCTCTAGGTGTTGTAATCAGAAATATTCGACATATTTTATAAATATCGACACTTTGAGCGAAAGCCATTTTAGTATGTCCTTTACAGTTGTGTGTCCTTTACATTTGTATGTGCAATATATGACTCATGATGCTGTAAAAGGGTTACGAAAAACATTGCAGTCACATTTAAAGGTCAACGTTTAACATTAGTGAGACGAATAATGGGAGAAAGTGAACGTAGAAATAAAACGCAAAGGTGAGCTTTCTCAGAGATAAACGCGAAACAGGAGTAAAAGTGACCCGACAGGGCATCACGGAATGGTTGGACACATCCATCATCATAACAAAGGCGCTTGAGCGTAAAAGTGAAGTCTCGTTGCTTGCAACTGCGACTATGACGTCAGAGGCAAATGTCGGCAGACAACTCACGGAGAAAAGAGAACACGTCGACGCAAATTCGCACTTGCAGCGAGAGTTTCGCACTGGCTTAAGCTTGAACGTCAAGTAATGGAGAAATATTAACGGCCGTACCGTGTCGCTCAGAGCAAACGCAATCCAACCTCGAATTTGTTTGTTCAAAATTTACTCAGATGGAAGTCTCCTGAGGGAGTGGAGGCCGACGTTCCGCTGGAAGTTTCCTCAGCGCGCCATCCTATTTACTCGAGAATTATTCGTTGTCTGTCTCCCAAGTGCAGCGCTCTTAGTCACTGCCACGCGCAATAGACGACTGAGCACTCAGTTCGGAGACGAATGGCGCCCCAGACTCGGTATCTGCCTACCCCGACAAAACTAAAAAAAGAAACTTCTTTTTTTCTTAGAAGTGGAGGGTTTCCCTAAGTTGGGAAGGTTTGTTGTAGTTGTTTTCTTTTTGTTCTTTGAGGGGGCATTCAATTATCCTGTTCTGGTTGTTCCTCTGTGTGTCCTGGTGAATTGTGTCCTAGCAAAGGGCAAGTTTTGTGGTTGGCAACCTCGTAGCTGTAAGTATATAAGCAGGTGGGACCGAATAAACCTTTTAGCTGCGTTTGAGGCACTCTCTTCTTCCCAGTTTTCTGTCACTTCTACGCTTAAGTTTCTATTTCATACCCCGGTCTCGGGTTAAGTTGCAACATGGAGCACTAAGCCAGAGTCGTAGGCGCCCTTGTGGGGCTTGTGGCCGGAGGGGAGCTCGAGTGCGTATATGTTCAAGTGCAGAAGCATGGCCGTGGCCATTCTTAGTTGTTCCAGTCCTCTTGTAGTATGCCTGTTGGAAGTGAGATTGTGCGCCTCGTGTCGGGTTTCATGTGGCTGTCAGCGTTAAGCTTCTTTGTCATCTTCGTCACCACACACTTTTGTCGACGTCACGCATGGACGGCTGGATCGTCTTGGGTATCCTGAAGTTGTGGAGGAGGCCTAAGGTTACGAAATCCGGGCTGCGGTGACCGAGTTCCGTCCCGCCACTCCGTGCCGCGCGTGCTGTCAATCACAGCCACCGGGCTCGATAGGCATAGATTTGTAACCACTGGCCCTCCTTCGCGGGAACAACGATATGCAAACTATATGGTGCCTGGAACGCGTCTCCCTCCGACTGGTGTGTTTACCGCGGCCAAAAAAGTGGTCCCTCGATTTCCGCCTGATGACGTCATAAAAGTGTCATGCTGTCGCCAGTTGCGACCCTGGCGGCGTCTCAACAGTTGTGGTATAAAAGGCAGACGCCTGTTCTGCTGCAGGTCGCTCTCCACTGTGACAGTTCACGGAAGCTAGAGCAGCCGGGAGTTGGGACGCCTAAAGGGACGCCGTGACGACAGCGACACTCGCGTTCGCTCGTGCTTTTCGCCAGCATTTCTGCGGCCAACCGCCAGGATCGCGACAGGCAACAGCATGACACTCCGGCTTCTGTGACGTCATTTGTTGCCACATTGGGACCATTTTTGATGTATGGGCGGGAGAGGACGCTTAACACACCCAGTCGAAGACGCGATCCAGGCACCATAATGCAAACGCCACAACGCACTGACTTGAGTGAAAGCGCGGAAGCACAATCACTGCGGTAGCCGACAGCCAAAGATTCGCTTCAGTTAATTCGAACGAGCGCCCCCGCCCCCTCCCCGTCCCCAATGTAGTCAAAACGGGAAAAATTCTTACGTAAAGAACAAACCCAGCAGCCTAACATGCTTGGCGCCAGTGTAGAATTTTCTTGCTGCTACCAGCCTCGGAGAATGGCAGAACGCGCTAATTCAACAACACACACGTCTTTAATTTATTCGTTCAATTTAGCGTTCTCGTAAGTTCGAGAACCTTGTCATCTTATAATCGAGGTAGAATTTTCTACGCGCCGAACGTTCTACGCCGAATGTTCCGGAAACCCACAAGGGTACATAAGGGACTCCGCATGGCGAGCCGGAGTCAGTCTCGCCCCAGCGTTCGATCCTGCTGTTTCGCCGCCATCGACGCCTGCGACGCTAGGCTTTTTCTATTTCGTTTTGGACACAAGTTCGCCCCATTAAACGTTTAGTTTGCTTCAGTTTTCGTCGTATCATCATTTGTTGTTCGTGACAATATATAGCAGATCTAGTTCTTGCCTGTCGTACTTGCCTTTCTTTTATCCCTGCTTTTTGTGCGCTCTGTTTTTCACCGTGAACCAGAAGCAGCGGACCCATTTTTAGACACCTTTAGATATAATAACACTGTATTGAAGAGATCATATAATAACTCACAGTACGCACAAAGATCTCATAATGACACGTGCATAACCTAACCTAAGCTAACCTCACGTCACTAAGGAACGAAAACATGCCTACGTTTTCACAGATTTTGCTTTTCTATTCAGGGAAAAAAGAACAATAAGTATATTGAGCAATAAGAAACGAGAGTGGCCAGGTGGCAAGGATGTTATTTGAAGGTCATGATCACCAAGCTAAAATCGAGTGATAGCTGTCAAAATTGTGCTTGATGTTGAACGTGCAGTGGCTGCCAAGTTTATCCTCTTTCTACACGATGTGTGCACAACCTAGTGGTTTCAGTACAGCTCCACAAATATTATTAAAAATCGTATACACCATGGGATTTACGCCTAATTGTCTACCCTGTATTCCTACGCCCTAAACTAATTCGTACTGATTATGTTTCTATTGTCTTGCAGTATATCTTCGGGAGCACCTGTCCACAAGGGACCACCTCAAGAAAGGTTGAATTATGGCGATTCCAACCAAGTGGAGTCCCTGCGCACATTAGAAATCCAGACCGAACCGAAAGAAGATACTGGCGGGATTGACACAAGTACTCCGGAGGGAAAAGAAAGTGAACAGGCATCACTAATTCGGTCCAGGTATGAAGCGTCAAGCGAGGAGGCTGAAAGTGAGGAAAGCGATTCCGAAGAGGCATCAAACGAAGATAACCAAGAAAGCGAGTCTGAGGAAGAGAGTGAAGAAAGTGAGTCCGAGGAAGAGAGTGAAGCAAGTGAGTCTGAAGAAGAGAGTGAAGAAAGTGAGTCTGAAGAAGATAGTGAAGAAAGTGAGTCCGAGGAAGAAAGTGAGTCTCAGGAAGAGAGTGAAGAAAGTGAGTCTGAGGAAGAGAGTGAAGAGAGTGAGTCCGAGGAAGAGAGTGAAGAAAGTCAATCTGAAGAAGAGAGCGAGTCCGAGGAAGAGAGTGAAGAAAGTGAGTCCGAGGAAGAAAGTGAAGAGAGTGAGGAAAGTGAGTCCGAGGAAGAGAGTGAAGAAAGTGAGTCCGAGGAAGAAAGTGAAGAGAGTGAGGAAAGTGAGTCCGAAGAAGAGAGTGAAGAAAGTGAGTCCGAGGAAGAGAGTGAAGAGAGTGAAGAAAGTGAGTCCGAGGAAGAGAGTGAGGAAAGTGAGTCCGAGGAAGAGAGTGAGTCTGAGGAAGAGAGCGAGTCCGAGGAAGAGAGTGAAGAAAGTGAATCCGAGGAAGAGAGTGAAGAGAGTGAAGAAAGTGAGTCCGAGGAAGAGAGTGAAGAGAGTGAAGAAAGTGAGTCCGAAGAAGAGAGTGAAGAAAGTGAGTCTGAGGAAGAGAGTGAAGAGAGCGAGTCTGAGGAAGAGAGTGAAGAGAGCGAGTCTGAGGAAGAGAGTGAGTCCGAGGAAGAAAGTGAAGAGAGTGAGTCTGAGGAAGAGAGTGAGTCCGAGGAAGAGAGTGAAGAGAGTGAAGAAAGTGAGTCCGAGGAAGAGAGTGAGTCCGAGGAAGAGAGTGAAGAAAGTGAGTCCGAGGAAGAGAGTGAAGAGAGTGAAGAAAGTGAGTCCGAGGAAGAGAGTGAAGAAAGTGAGTCTGAGGAAGAGAGTGAAGAGAGTGAGTCTGAGGAAGAGAGTGAAGAAAGTGAATCTGAAGAAGAGAGCGAGTCCGAGGAAGAGAGTGAAGAAAGTGAGTCTGAGGAAGAGAGTGAGTCCGAAGAAGAGAGTGAAGAAAGTGAGTCCGAGGAAGAGAGTGAAGAGAGTGAAGAAAGTGAGTCCGAGGAAGAGAGTGAAGAAAGCGAGTCGGAGGAAGAGAGTGAAGAAAGCGAAGAGGATTAAAGGAGCATGTGTGCTGCAATAGTTCCTGCCTATGGGATCGATACACGAAGAAGTGACGATTAGCATTTAATAAACAAGGCACTGAACTCCATGCAACCATGGGGACCCGCGAGCTATAATAAATTTCGTATCGCAAGCTTAAAAAACACTGTTTCAACAAGATACTAACTGTGTTGCATGATACACTTAGTCGAAATGAACCGCGACCTATTTTTTAAATATGTTGCAATTATAAAAAGCAAATGGCTTCAAATTTAGCGTCTTTATACAGCGTGCACATGCACAGATTTCGCCGTACTCTATGCTTTACTTAAGCTCAAGCACCGCCAAAATGCCAGATAAACGTCAGAAAACGGCTACTGAGCTTCTGAGGTGAACATCTGGGCCAGCGATGGATGCTCATCAAGGGTAAGGTCGCCATGAATATTTTCGTGGACACGGCGGCACTAATAGAGTCCGGTGAAAAGTTTATAAACCACGAAAAGTACAGGATTTTATTTCATTCCACTTGAAATTCGATACAGGCCATGAGCGCAGCAAGTGTGAACTTCAACGGCTGTCCCGCAGGACACGGTTTGTACCGCGCACGGCAAAAAAACGTGCACGTTTTAAAAAACAAAAAACGTGAAGGTTTCGGCACGCGCGTCCATTTTCAGTACGGACATGAACCACGTAGCCTTCCGTAAAACTTAAGGGCCTCCCCCCTCGCTCTGATTTATTCCGCTTTTTTTTTTTTCTTCGAGAGGTTGGGGATTGATAACAACAGCGAAGGCCTTGACGACAGCCAGCAGAGTGTGTGAGTGGCTGCATGATACGCCATGAGCGCCCTCCAAGGCTTTGTCCAAGGACGCAAGCCAAGACTTTCCCCGATAAAAAAAAACGTTCCAAATCAGACCGGAAGCGGAGAAAGAACCTCCGCTTACCTCCGGCAAATACTATGCACAGCACCAGCCGCGTCCTGTGTCGACAGCCCATTAAATATGTCGCGGACCGCGGCAATATTTGCGGTGGTCCATCTCAGTGCACGCGCATCAATATTTAAAACTGACCCCGGCGCTACCTTTCTTCTCCTTTTATTGGCAAAAAAACTCGCTGGACGGTGAGAGGCCGAGAGCTTGCATGACACGGAGAAAGCACGGAGGGCTTTACATCACTAAATCAAATAAAATAAAATCAAGTTTATTTGTTGTCACACTTTACATGACAACAGGGACTCGGACAAAAAGCTGCTAAAGAGCAGCTTGACAAAGGTCCCAGCCCCCGTGCAGTTCGCGACAGTTTCAAACACAATTTAACAACTAAAATTTGGACGACTACTACACAGTGTACAGAGACGAGTACAAACCAATGCAAAAGCCTGATTTATACAATACTAGATTTGTTGCAAACATAGAGACGAAAAATACACAGGCCAGTGAAAGGAAAACTCGACTAATTAAAGCAATGGTACAATCGTACATGAAATAATACATCATGTTCATCACAAACAATATCAGCAGTATTCAAAAATCGCATAGAAAAGTAAGTTTTTTTAATTCCCTATGTGGTAGTGATTCTAAATGTCCACCCTTTTTGTACAAACTATTTAACATGGTGGACAATCTGAAACGAAGCGTCTGATTTAGGTAATTTGTACGCGTTGGGCGAATCATCCAGGGTGCGTTGGATGATGCGATGTTTTAGGTTGGCTAGTTTAATAAAATGAACATTATTGTGCTGAAGAGTTCTGTGATACGTTGACAGAAGCTTGCAAGCATACATTTGCTCGACGGTTTTGACATTTAGGAATTTAAATAGTGATTTAGTGGGATGAGGAAATGGAGTTCCTGAAATAGCACGTACTGCCTTTTTTGTAATAGATGCAACATATTCAGATAACTTTTTGTTGTGGTGCCCCATATCAGGCTACAGTAATTTAAGTGAGAACAAATTAATGTATTATATATAGTTAATTTAATTGAAGTAGAAAGTAAACTTTTAAATTTTGTAAGTAGGCCTACATTTTTAGATATTTTTGCTTGCACATAGTCTATATGTGCATTCCAGCTCATATCATGAGAAAACATCACACCAGAGTTTTAATACAATCTAGGAACTCAATTTCTTCATTGTTTATTGTAATATGAGGTAGGATATTTATTTTCTTATTTTTGGGCCTAAACAAAATAGCTTTGGTCTTTTTACAGTTTAATTTTCGTTTGTTTTTAAACGTCCAGGCGGCGATTTGTTTTAGCTCTTCATGCACTGTAGCAATAGAAGTACAAAGATTTTTATGGGAGAAAAAAATACTTGTATCATCAGCGTAAATTACCAGCCTTACATCGCCGCTTTTGGCCACATGCACATTGTCGTTTATGTATAATATAAATAGCAATGGGCCTAAAATGCTACCCTGGGGAACACCTGATTTGATAGAAAGCCTATCCGAATGAAAATTCAGAAAAGACACGTATTGGTTCCTATTTATTAAGTATGATTTCATGAGATACTGTAAAACCCTTAATGTTCGCGAGCCCTCAATTTTCGCAAATTTCAAGAATTGAAGAATTCGCGAAATTTAAGGGCGCGCGAAAATTTCGGTCCTTAAGATTTTCAACGCCGGCGTCTGGAATTCGCGAAATTTAGTGGTCGCGATTATGTCATCTGTGACCGATTCGCGAAAAATAGGGGCCGCGAAAATGAAGGGTTTTACAGTATTTTACTATGCCTTTTATTCATAAAAATGGTAATTTGGAAAGTAAAATATTATGATCGATGGAATCAAAGGCTTTTGAGTAATCAAGAAAGACGCCTAATGTAATTTTTCTTTCGTCAAAAGCTTTCACGATTTGTTCTTTCTGGTTTAATAAAGCCAATTTGGTAGATCGATGTTTACGAAAACCGAATTGCGCATCGGAAATTAAAGCATGTTTACCAAGATCTGTTATGGGTCTATTGTGTATTAGTTTTTCAAGTGATTTAGAAAAGACAGGAAGGATTGAGATGGGCCTATAGTTATTTATGTCAAGCCTATCACCACCTTTATGTAGAACACTAATTTTGATACCTTCATTCATAGGGTAAAACAGCCTGTTTCTAATCCGAGGTTATATATGCCTGTTAATAAGGTGCAATAATATCAATGACGTATTGTATAGGTTTTACCTGCATGTTATCGGCGTCGATGCTTTTGTTATTCTTAAGATTTATGACGGTCGAGTAGATTTCTGAATCATCCGTGGGGAATAAGAACATTGATTTCGTATATGATACTGGCTTGAACTCTAGAACTTTGTTTAGGCAGGACGATGACTCACCAAAAGTACCAACATTTACCAAGAAATTATTGAAAGCATTTGCCATGTTCACTTCTGTTACTTTAACCGTGTTTATACTTATTTCATGGGGCACGTTTTGAAATGGCTTATGATTCAGTACTGATCGTATCCTCTTCCACATAACGTCAGGTTTCTCAGTTTCTAACGAATCAAAAAGATTATTGTAGTAGTCACGCTTAAGATTTCTTAGTAGACTTGTGAGTTTGTTGCGGTATTTTTTAAAGGTTTCATCTTGCTAATCTCTTTTGTTCCTAAAAAAACTTTTGATATAAATTAGTCTTAACCCGTATCATTGAGAGTAGCTTTGGCGTGACCCAAGGATTACGTGACTTCTTAGATGCTTTGACGTTGACAAAAATGTCTACTATAAATAGCACTAAATGTATCGAGGAATAAATTATATGAGGAATTTGCTGATTTTGTTGAAAAAAGATGTCTTTTCAATTTCTTCCCGAAAACTACGCAATTGATCAGGGGTGGTAGACTGAACTTTAACCACTGGAACAGGGTCACTTCGGTTTTTCGGGGAGTGCTCACTGTACAAGCAAAAATAAATGGGAAGATGATCACTGATATTAGTAGAAAGAACACCTGATGATGCCACCGGTTCTTCATAGTTCGTGATGAACAAATCAAGCATAGAAGATGACGTATTTGTTATTCTTGTAGGATGTATGATAACATTCTACAACCGATCTGAAGCAATAAGGTTTGAGAAAGAGATTTTTTGGCCAGAGTTCGAAATCATATCAATGTTGAAGTCACCACCCAAAAATAACTTGTAATTGTTATCATTGACATATTTGAACAATGTCTCCGCAAAATAAAAATAAAGAGCGGCATGACCGGAGAATCGGGTGGCCGATATACAACGGAGAGCAGCGTATTTTTGAAACGTACAGTTACAACCTCATAAAAATCAGTAATCTTACAGAACGATTTTAATATCTCACAATTTCTTTCATTTTTTACCAACATAGCAACACCAGCGCCTAGCCTATCATTTCTATTTAGGTTGAAATAAGAAAATCTCGGAAGCAGAAAGTAATCAGCGCTACGACTGTACCACGTTTCAGTTAGCATGACGGCGTCAATATTCGGTCCAATGCAGTCGAACAAAACAGCGAGGTCATCGTGCTTATTTCTTGCAGATCGAACATTTAGGTGAATAATTGTCATTTGAAATGCAGACTCATTCTAAAGTAGATTTCTTAGTTTAAAATGGTGGTGGTGGTAATGAACAACCTTTATTTGGAACCAGCAGTTGGCGGTAGCCCTTCCACACGCAGGTGGTGGTGACTACGCGCCACGCGGTACGACCCCCTCGGCTATTCCCCTCCCACCAGCCCTCGGCCCGGGCGCGCCCCTTTTCTATCTGGGGCCGAAAGGGGGAGCCCATCGGACCTCCGCGAGCTTCCCCACCTCCCCCCTCATCCCTTGCCCGTTGCCTATCTAGAGCGGTTGTGATCAGCCGGACGGCCCTACGCTGAACCTCTAATTCACAGCTCCGCGCCCCGTCTTCGAACTGCGGGGGAATCGTCGTCTTCTCGCTTGCCTCTCTTGGGTTGAGTTCACAGATCCACAACAGGTGCGACGCGGTGGCCCTCGCGTTCTTGCAAAGTCCACACGTGTCGTCCGCGTAAAGTCCTGGATATATGTGTTTAGTTAGCACCGGTGTGAATAGCGACCCTGTCTGTAATTGTCTAAAAATCACAGCCTCCTCGCGTTTTAGCTCGGAATGAGGGGGAGGTACTACTCTCCTTCCTAACCTATATCACTTGACTATTTCGTTATACGTAGTTATGCGGTCCTTCGTACTAAATCACTCTGCACCACGTGAGACTGTCCCGTTTGTCGCCGCCCGGTTGGTGAGTCCTCGCGCTGCGACGTTGGCCGTCTCGTTGTGGTTGGGATTACTGTTCACCGACACTTCACTGCCCATGTGGGCCGGGCTCCACTTGATCACCACTGCACCATCACGATCACGTCCTGTCGTTGTGGCCGCTCGCAAAATGCGAGCCGCCG